TTCGAGGCTGGGTTAATGTAAATTTTGGTGAATATATGAGATGGTTAGGGTTATGGATATTAATGTCTGCTTTTCCTGTGGCTGATCGTCATTTTTATTAGAGAACAATGGAAGAGCTAACAAAGCCTATGATGTCTTTTAATTTTTAACGTTGGATGCCTCTTTCACAGTTTAAACAAATAGTATTATGCCACACTTTAATGATGCCATGTGAATTAGATACACCAAATCTTGATGATCCATTGTATTCTGTTCGTAGTTTTGTTGATGCATTTAATAAAAACCTAATTGAGGCTGTAAAGCCTGGAAAAATGTTTTGCATTGATGAATCAATGAATTCATGGTTAGGTAGTAAAAACAAAATACTGGGTTGTCGTAAAATACCACACAAACCGCATCCAGTAGGACAAGAATGGAAGACACTAGTAGATGGTTCTACAAATATTATTGTTCAACTAGAGCCTTGCGAAGATAAAGAAATAGAAAAAAAAAAGTTTGCTTCAGATTACGGCAGTACAACTGCATACGTTTTGCGTTTAGTGCAACCGTGGTATGGTAGTGGACGAACTGTAGTTGGTGATAGTTGGTTTGGGTTCCCGAAGCTTTGTATAGCATTAATGCAGAATGGATTATATAGTATCTTTCATGTTAAAAAAAGGCGAGGGTGGCCTCTTAATTATCCCGGTGATATGGTTCAAAGGCTTGGAAGCACATACGGATCTTATGTTTCAAAAGTCGCAAATATTGATAATGTATATTTAATGGCGGCTTCCTTGAAAGATCGAAAACCACAATGTATTGTTGCAACTGTATCGACTACAACAAAGAGTGATGAGGTTAAACGTGTAGTTAAGGAATGTACTAACTCTTCGGTGGTTAAATTTACAAGACCAAAAGTCTTTTATGAATATTCTTGTTCTAAAGGTGCTGTCGATATTAATAATCAGGTGTGTAAAATTTTTTTTAATTACAACGTTATTATTATAACGCTATTTTGTTGTATTACTATTACAATATTTTTATGTGTAACATAGTAATTGTTACAGTAACGCAAATGCGACAATGTGGATCTAATATTTGTAATTTTACTTTTTTTGTCTATTATACTAACAACCAATGGAATATATATTGGGTTATTAGGTGCGTGACAATATGACATCTTTTCATGATGTTATGCGTGAATCTAGCTGGGAGATGCGTGTATATGCTTTTTTATTAGGAGTTGCTGAGGCAAATGCTTTTTTGATCTATAAAAAATGGGGTAGTGAGATGCATAATATATCACATTTTGATTTTAGACGATTATTAGCAGACGAGATGCTTAGTGAGATTTTTTCTGATAGTGAAGTTGTATTACCAAATACATGATTACAAAAGCGGAAAAGAGAAATAGAATTATTACATAAATTAGAAACTTTTCCAAAAAAGAAAAAATCTGGAAATGTTACAATTTATCCACAGTTACACTGTTTATATTGTAGTACAAGAACAAGATATCATTGTATTTGTAATACATCAAAGGCAATATATATTAGTTGTTATAGTCAACATCTTTTAGCAAGTTAAATATTTCAAAATAATAAATAAATATTAAATAAATTGTGATTGTTTTTTTATAATAGTGTTTTATGTTATTTATAAATATAAAATTTTTTTTTTACTGTACTAAATTTAGTATAGCAAAATTAAAAAAAATAATAATAATTTGTAATTTAATTTATACAATTTTTCAATAATAAATATTATTAAAAATTTTACCTAGATATTAAAGTTGATTTGAAAATTATTTTTCTAAAATTTGGTTAAAGCTAATCTTATATTTAATTTAAAAAAATTTTTTTTTTATATACTAAATTTAATATGTTTGGCCTATGGATACCCATTAATATTAATGCTTTATATTACCCAGAATAACTATAACAGACAAATATTTACTTTTTATACCAATGCATCAGTATCAGAAATTGGTACTAGCAACTGCTCTATGGGAGTTGGCTAGATACAGATTCTTAACAACCAAGTCATCAATAGCTTCTCTGCATGAATTACAAACTGGCCATCATCATACAAAGCGAAGCTCATAGCAGTCCTACCAGCCATTTCTACACTACCTCAAAACTCCAAAATCGATACCTTTACTGACTTCCAGTTAATTATCACCAAGTACAAAAAACTTTTACACACTCCCACTGAGTCTACTAAATACTTCAAGCTCAACTACTGGCCAATCTGGCACTCAATCCTCAATGCTACCAAGGCCTTCAATATTCAGCTAACTTTTCACAAAGTTCCTGCTCACGCAGACAACCAGTTCAATAACATGGCAGATCTACTTGCAAAAAAACACCAACAGCCAGATACCCATACTCTTCAGTTTAGCCACACTAATATATACAATCCAAACTTTGTTATACAATGGCACAAACACTATGTAGAAAAACCCACAAGACAGTTCAT